CTATTTACTTCTCTTAGGCCTCTTTCTTATCCTTTTTGGTCATTTGTAATGCTCAATGTATGCATAAGAGTGTTTATGAGTGAGAGAGAACGGAAAACAAAACACAAAATAACTTTTCAAAATTTCTGAAACAGGCTCTCCGCTTGAGCGGACCCCTTCAGTCTGTAAAAGTACTGGTTACGTTTAATTCACGCTCGAGCGAGATTCTTGATGCTTGAGTGGGGAGCCTTCGAGCGATGAGACCTGTGCAATTTCTGCAAAACTTTTGGGAGCCAAATTTTTACGCTCGAGCGAAACTTTCCTCGCTCGAGCGGACTGATCGAATTCTGGGCTTTGCAAAATTCTGTTTGAAGCTCAAAATACACTCCTAAAGGTCCAAAGCTTGCATATTTTGTACCAAATTATGGAAAAGCAATGCGTAGCATGAAAACATTGGTAATTTGAAATCAATTGACCAAAGAAATCATGATCCATGTTTTAAATCATCACAAGCTTTTCTTGTAATTTCAAAACTCATGCAATTGAGCCTTCAATTTTCATGAATCATGTATGCATGTAAAATATTTACTCCAATTCTACTTCAAATGCTACAAATGATGCTCATGGTCATAAAGCTCAACAAAACTACACATGCATGAGTAATTTGATACTCAATTCTACATATTCAACATGCCTCATGCCAAATTTATGCCTAACTCTCACATGCATGTACTTAATAACTTCAAATTCATTATTATCAACTCAATTCTTGTTCTTCATTACATAACTTGTATGAATTCACTTGATTATAAACTAAAACCCATGAGTTTGAGTTCAATCACTCACCTAGGAGCTCAAATCTTTCAAGTTCTAGTTAGCTCCTTGAATTAAGCTTCTCAAATTCAAGCTTCTTGCTTAATTCCACAATTTTGTCTTCACCCTCTCTCTAGAACCGATCCTCTCTCTCTCTCTAGAGTGTAATTTCAGTCAAGAGGAGAGAAATGAGCTCAAAAAGTGATTATAAGTGTAAATAAGTCACTTATATATACTTGCCTAATCAATTTTGATTAAGGCTAATTAATTGAGCTTAATTTAATTAGTTTAATCAAATTAATTCAGCTCGAATCAATTTTTAATTAAATTTCACCACAGGCTCTAAAATTTACGCTAATCACAATGGTACAGACAATTCCAGTTTCTGAAACCTCTGCAGTCTTCAATTTTCAAATTATAGCAGTAAGTTGGACAAATTTTCCTACAGTGAACATATATAGTTTCAAAAACATGAATAATCATACAATTACCACTAAAAATCATATTAAGCACAAAATCACATTCATAATTAAGGCTGATTAACATAACATAGAATAGGGTTATCATAATCTTCCCCCATTTAGGAAGTTTGGTCCTCCAAACTTATTTTACCTTCGTTCGGAAACAAATGTGGATAGCATAGTTGCATCTCATCCTTTTTTTCCCATGTAGCGTCCTTCTCATACCGTTCTTTCCACTCTACCTTCATCATTGGAATGGACTTATTTCTCAACTATTTCACTTGCTGGTTAATGATTCGTTCTGTCCATTCTTCCTATTCCATATTTTCATCAAGAGCTATTCGGTGGTAATCAATCACATGAAAGGGGTCCCGAAGATAACCCCTCAACATCGATACATGAAATACATTATGCATTTTTTGAATCCTGGTGGCAAAGCAACCCTATAAGCAATTGGACCAAGCCTTTCCAGAATTTGAAACGGTCCAATGTAGCGAGGGGACAATTTGCCCTTCTTACCGAATTTCAACTGGCCCTTCATCGGAATCACACGAATGAATACATGATTGCCAACTTCATACTCAAGTGGTCTTCTTCAAACATCCGCATAATTCTTTTGCCGGCTCTGTGCTGTCTTGAGCCTTTGTTTTGAAGTACCGTCCACTCCTGGTCATGTGATCGACCTCGCCGATATACCAGGTATCATCTGGTTGGTTATCTTCCCAATCTTTGTCCGTTTGGGCAAGACATAGATCGTCGTCTTCCCACCACATACCATCTGCAGCCGACAGGCAACTGTCTGGTTCTGGCATAACTGTCCCGATACTTGCAGTACCTTTTATCCCTACGCTCGCAGCATCCTCCATTTCTGTACTTGTGGCTGTCTCAACCACCACCTGGCCTTTTGCCTTCCTGATCCTCTCAGAATCTTCGAATCTTCCCTGTTCTGACTGTGCCAACGCAGTAGATTGCTCAGTGATCCCTGTACTCAAAATGCTCCATTCCCGAGCGAAACTCTCGACACCGGCGCCCTCCGGCGATGTATTCTGTTCTTCGATCTTCCTGGCTGTTATTGACACTTCTGCCCCCGCCGGGCCTTGTTCTGACTGAAATCCTCCTACCACATCTGGCTGATCGTCCAACCATCCCGTGGCCTCAGCTGATTCCTCATAATCGAACCAGTTGACGGTTGGGTCTTCTGGGTCTTGGTTATCTTGAAACTGGAACTTGCCAAGATCCTCTTCCACAGCTGTCAAATCATCCGTCCCCTGTTCTAGACTGTCCCTTTGGATTGCACACAGCTCTCCCCCGACTGGAAATTTGACATCTGGTCTATTCTGACCCATTGGTGAAATGTAGTCACTTGGACTATCGGCGTTCCCAACATCACTCCCAGATTCCGCAGACTTTGGTTTGACAACCTCTTTCCTGTTCTTGGTGGTCACCACCACTGGCTTGGGTTGGGTTATAGAGACGTCCATCATGCACAAATCGGTGCAATCAGGGAGGAAAACTTTCGGCTTAGGCAGGTAGGAGGGTGTGATATAGATACTAGGATCGTAAGATGCGACCCTAGTGTGGATGAAATTGATTCTTTTGGGTGGTGGAACTTGGTTATGTGTGGGGAGAGGATTTGTAGTAACATTGGGTTTCTCAGGGGGTAAAATCACCCCATTATCAATGAGATCTTGAATCTCATGACGCAATCGAAAGCACAGGTCGGTGTCGTGACCGTGCTGCTGGTGGAACGCACAATACTTGGCTGGATTGTGGGTGGCAGGCAGTCTTTCAGGTAAGGGCCGCGGCTCTAGGGGCTTCAGATGCCCTTTTCTGATCAAAACCCCCAAACCTTTGGATAGGGGCATATAAAGTGGAGCGAAGGTTCTAGTATTTCTGGGAGGGTATTTGGTTGTTTGAGGGTTGCTTCCAGACGCACCGGAGAATGGTGTGGCTGCTGTAGTTCTTGGGGAAGGGTTGGTGGTGACCATACTCACTTCAGAGGTCCTGGCAGTCGTAGCGCCACTCGGGCCTGCAGTAGTATTTCGATTGAAAGTTCTGCGGGGTTGCTCCCGGTCATTATCAACCAGGCCTTGTTTTAAGGCATCCTCGATCTGCACCCCCATTTCGTGCAGATCAGCAAAGTTAGGGAAGGGGACTACGATCATTTTTTGCATTAGCTTCGGCTGGAGATTGTGCACAATCATCCGAATTTGGTCCTTGTTCGTGGGTCTTAAGGTCATCATCGAAGCCTTAGCCCGCCATCTGGTTACAAATTCTGAGAAACTCTCCTTGGGTTCTTGCCTCGTTGTCTCGAGATCCCGGGTCGTGATCTCGATTTGTGTGTTATACGAGTACTGCAGGATGAAGGCCTCAGCCATCTCGTCCTAACTTCTCTTGACGTCATCCTCCAACTTGGCATACCATGCGGCCGCTACACCTGACAGGATCCGGCCAAACAAAGACAGCTTCTGCAATCTGGTGAGGCCCATTGGCCTTAGGACGTCTGAAAATAGTCGCAGGTGTACCATGGGATCCTCGGATCCATCAAAACGATCAATTTGTGGCATCTTAAACCGATCTGGCAGCGTCACGGCTGTATCATTGTATCCGTCTCCAATGTCCGGGATGGACTTCGCACCCTGAGATTTCTTGAACAGCTTTTCAAGCTTGTGCATTTTCAATGACACAGGATCCACCTCGGACTCAAATGGAGAATCCGATATATTGACAGGAGTGGGTGCCTTGGATTGCTGAGGCAGGATCGGGGGTGGAGCTGGCCCTGTTGGGATGTCCGTATCTTCTTGGACGTTCCGGGCATTTGGAGTCTCTTCGGGTATCGGAACCCTTAGTGGGGAAGGGACTTGCTGTGAAGTTGACGTCCCAGTTTGCTACTGCAATCTCACAATTAACTCCGCTTGCTCACCCATAACTGTGGCTTGTTGTTTGGTGAATTCTGCCTGTCGGACAGCATCCTGCTGCATCACTTTCATGCTTTCCTGAAGTTGGCGCATCATCTCCTCTAAGCTAGCCATACTATTCTGCTCTGGTTGAATTACTGGTACGCGTTCCCTCTCTGGAGGTGAAACAGGACCCTGATCCCTACTGAACTCAGGTGGGGTAGATAAGGCTCTCTGAATTGACTGTCGAACCGATGCCCTCTGCCTAATTGCCTTCCGTTTAGTAACCGGGGGTAGAAAGTGGTACACCGGTTGTCCTGCTATCAGATCCTTAGATCGATGGAGTCGGCGACCTCTGATCCAGAGTGCTTGGGGAATGTCTACCGGGTTGGAAGCAATGATGCTAAACTACCTAGCAAAAAGATAAATAAAGCAGTAAATAAACAAGTAATCGGACGGCATAACCGCTTTAAAATAAACACATACAACATGCAGTTGGGCATTCACAATGCACAGTTCGATAAGCCGTACACACTGTTCCCCGATACTGATCACTGTTTCCCGAAATCTCTGTTCCCAACACTGAACCCTGATATCCGTGGATAACTGATTCTCATAAACTGATGATGATACCCTCAGGCCTAATACTCAATCTTGCAAACTGATATGCACATTCCTGTATAGCAACACTCTAAAAGCACATAGCAGGTAAAGAGAGCCAAAAACACCCCTATGTTGGGGTAGGGTTTCCCTGTCCTATTTTGTCAGGAGCTAGGATTTCACTATGCACACAGCAGTTCTCAAACAACCTAACATCGGGTAAGCAACCTGTCCTAACTTGGAATGGTCACTATGGATGCAAGTTTAGCAATTGTTCTTTCAGTTCTTTTATTTCAGCAGTAGCCATTCTGTAAAGGATTTTTGAAATAGGCTGAGTGCTTGGCACAACTTCAATAGTAAACTCTATCTCCCTGTCAATCAATTCCCCTGGCAATTCATCTGGTAATACATCTGGAAACACGCTAATAATGGGGATACTATTCAATTCTACATTCACAGATTGTTCAGATAACACACAACACAAGTAACCTTCGCACCCCTTCCTGATCAATTTACATGCTTTCATTGCAGATATCAAATAAGGTGGAGGCACTATCTCGTTACCCACAAAAACTATTTCTTCCTGCCCCGGTGGTCTAAATACAACCTGTTTCGCCGTATAATCAATGGTGGCACAGTATTTAGATAGCCAGTCCATGCTCGGGATTACATCAAAATGCCTAAAGTCCAAGGGTAATAGATCTACATACAAAGTAGCATTCCCAATACGCATATCACAAAATCAACATACAGATGTACACAACACAGATTCCTTGAACGGAGTAGATACACATAACAAATATGGCAATGATTCTAGAGGTCTACTCAATCTAGATGCAAATGCATAAGTTACAAAGGAGTGTGTTGATTCAGAGTCAATTAACACGAAAGCATCTTGATTATATATAGAGATAGTACCTGAGACAACGGCTTTTGTGTTCCACATATCGCCCGGAACAATCACAAAGACTCTCCCTTGTCTTACGGTGTCTCCGGTGGTAGTAGGCCTCATAGTGTTTCCCAGTTTTGGGATCAATGCAGTTGAGCTAGTAGCTAACTTTCCATTGCTTTGATTACAATCCCTGGCCATGTGCCCTATTTTACCACACTTAAAGCAGGCCCCTAATACACAGTAGCAAACCCCACGATGTTTTTTACCACATTTGTTGCACATTGGGGACGTATCTCTGGAAGAATTTGAAGTGCTTGAGGAGCCTGTATTTTGTTTCTTTGAAAACCTTTTCTTAGAAAAGAAGCCTTGCTTTTTACTTTTCCAATCAGTCGATGATTTGGTCTGCTTGGCTATGCTAGCTTCTGATATTATGGCCTGGTCTAACACCTCGATATAGGTTTCCAACTTAAGTACATTCACTTTCTCTAAGATATCATCTCGGAGCCCTCTTTCAAAGTGCCTCAATTTCTTATAGTCGGTATCGACCATATGTGGTGCAAATCTAGCGACCTTAGTAAACTTGGCTTCATACTCAGCCACGGTCATGTTGTTTTGCTTAAGTTCCATGAACTCCGATACTTTCCTGTCACGAACACACTGTGGAAAGTATTTGTTGTAGAAAATTTCCAAGAACCGTGCCCAGCCAATATCTTTATTACTTTCACATATCAACATCCACCACCTCTTTACCTCATCTTTAAGTGTAAAAGTGGCTAGTAATGCTTTTTGTGTTTCAAGGCAAGGAACCACCTGAAATAGTTTCTCTATGCCAAGGACCCATGCTTCATCCTTCAATGGATTCAATCCCCCATGAAACTGTGGCGGTTTCATCTTCTTGAATTCTTTGGTGAGAGCTATTGTTTGGTCATCATTCTGTAGGACTTGTACAGGCGGTGCTGGAGGTGGAGGCAGAGGGTGTGGCTATTGCCATTTTTGTTGCCACTGTTGTTGTTAGGGGTGTGCGCCGTGCGGTTCGGGTGATTTGAGAGTAAAATTACAAACCGAATGGCGGGTTGGCGGATTAGCGGATTGACAAATTGCGGTTTGGGCAGTTTTTGGCGAATTAGCGGATTGAAGAATGTTCTAACTAATTATCATACATTTACATAATATATAACACTAATTTGTATAATTGTTTTTAGATATATAACACAATGTAATTTTAAATAATAGGTTTCATATATATAACCACTAATTTGTAATAAATTTTATATCTTAAATCTCTCTCACACTCATTTTTACATTGATGTTTCATTAAAGGTTAAAAAATATATATGTATTAACTATATTGGAGCGGAGCGGTTTCGAAGGCTTCAGTTGGCAGATTATAAATTTTAAAGTTTAAGCCGCGGTTAGCGGTTAGAGCAGCGTGGATAGATGCAGATCAGTGCAATTTTAGCAGATTGGGTGGTATTTTGCACAGCCCTAGTTGTTGTTGCCTCAACGTTTCTGCCATATCCTGTATTAACCTTTCCATCTTATCCATTCCGACAGTAGAGGACTCCTCTACTTCATCACCTCTTGTTCTCACCATTATCTGAGTAAACTTACATAATTCTTTATACAAAACAATTCACACGTACGCATATACAAAGGAGCATACGTATTCAAATAATTCACAATGCAAGTAAATTACAAAAAATATAGCACATAGTCATTTGTTTCGAAACATTTAAGCATATTCTCGATGTTTTCAAGTTCATATTTATCACATGAATGCATCCTAGATCTTTTCTAGATGCTTATTGCTCATTAGGACAAGTGTGTGAGTTATTAACTCGTTCTCTGATACCACTCTGTCATGACCTGAACATGCCCCTATGGATTAAGATCATAACCGACCAATAATTATGAGATTACTTACGGCCACAAACCTGATTAAACATATTTCAACAGGATTAAGGCGTCAAAACGGAAGTAGACTTAAAAAATTTATCCAATGAGCTGTGCTTACATGGCATAGTAAATTATCCAAAGTATTTCATAATAACTCACACATATAGGTAGAATTACCATGTTGTACATCCAGGAACTTTCAGACATATAGTCCGCCAAACAAAAAGCTTATATGCATGGGTGATCTAACGTATTCACCAAGATAACAAAAAGATAAACAAAAGAAACAAAACAAAGTCTCGTGCGTGAGACATTCGGGCTAACTTCACAAAACATAACTTCCTCTCATATCTTTCACTGAGGCCGGGTTTGGACATTTCCTTGCTCACCTACACACATATAAATGAGAGTGAGCGATAGCCCAGTAAATAATATCAAAATAAAGAAGTTACATTAATGAAATTCGCAACAGACATATCAAACGGCCTTAGGTCCATTCATGTTTCTATCTAGAACATCAAACGGCCTTGGGCCCAAACATATCAAACGGCCTTTGGCCCAATCATTCATGTCAAACGGCTTTTGGCCCAAATATTCAAGTCAAACGGCCTTTGGCCCAATCATTCATATCAAACTGCCTTCGGCCTAATCATTCATGTCAAACGGCCTTTGGCCCAATCACTCATGTCAAACTGCTTTTGGCCCAATCATTCTCATATTCGTATTTATGTGTGTTTCGTACTCATGATCACGATCGTATTTGTATTCAATTAGTCTTATGCAAAAGACTAACATTTAGAATACTCATTCATAATTCAAACATACAAATCCATAAGGCTTATATAGAAGTAACGTTATATCTTTACTAAGATATTACTCACAGTGTTCTACGCTTGACCTTACTTATTACATAACATATTGGGTCACAAATGATTCAATCCGTTCTTAATCTATTTACTTCTCTTAGGCCTCTTTCTTATCCTTTTTGGTCATTTACAATGCTCAATGTATGCCTAAGAGTGTTAATGATTGAAAGAGAACGGAAAACAAAACATAAAACAACTTTTCAAAATTTTTGAAACAGGGCTCTCCGCTCCAGCGCAGCTTTGGTCGCTCTAGCAGACCCATTCGGTCTGTAAAAGTACTGGTTGCATGTAATTCACGCTCGAACGAGATTCTCGATGCTCTAGCGGGGAGTCTTCACAAAACAGGGTTCACTCGAGCGTAAAGTCAGCTGCTCGAGCCACTGTGCAATTTCTACAAAACTTTTGAGAGCCAAATTTTCACGCTCGAGCGGGACTTTTCTCGCTCGAGCGGACTGGTCAAATTCTGGGTTTTACAGAATTCTGTTTGAAGCTCAAAATACACTCCCAAAAGTCCAAAGCTTGCATATTTTGTACCAAATTATGGAAAAACAATGCCTAGCATGAAAACATGGGTAATTCGGAATCAATTGACCAAAAAAATCATGATCCATATTTGAAATCATCACAAGCTCTTCTTGTAATTTCAAAACTCATGCAATTAAGCCTCCAATTTTTATGAATCATGTAGGCATGTAAAATATTTACTCCAATTCTACTTCAAATGCTACAAATGATGCTCATGATCATAAAGCTCAACAAAACTACACATGCATGAGTAATTTGATACTCAATTCTACATATTCAACATGCCTCATGCCAAATTTTTGGCTAACTCTCACATGCATGTACTTAATAACTTGAAATTCATTATTGTCAACTCAATTTTTATTCTTCATTACATAACTTGTTTGAATTCACTTGATTACAAACTAAAACCCATCAGTTTGAGTTCAATCACTCACCTAGGAGCTCAAATCTTCCAAGTTCTAGCTAGCTCCTTGAATTAACCTTCTCAAATTCAAGCTTCTTGCTTAATTCCACTGTTTTGTCTTTACCCACTCTCAGAACCGGCCCTCTCTCTCTCTAGAGTGTAATTTCAGTCAAGAGGAGAGAAATGAGCTCAAAAAGTGATTATAAGTGTAAATAAGTCACTTATATATACTTGCCTAATCAATTTTGATTAAGGCTAATTCATTGAGCTTAATTTAATCAGTTTAATCTAATTAATTCAGCCTTAATCAATTTTTAATTATATTTCACCACAGGCTCTAAAAATGATGCTAATCACAATGGTATAGACAGTTCCAGTTTCTGAAACCTCTACGGTCTTCAATTTTCAAATTATAGCAGTAAGTTAGACAGACTTTCCTACGGTGAACAAATATTGTTTCAAAATCATGAATAATCATATAATTACCATTAAAAATCATATTAAGCATATAATCACAATCATAATTAAGGCTGATTAACATAACATAGAATAGGGTTATCACAAGAACAAGATATCCGGGGTTCGAGATCTTTTTTAGACACCAACTACCAGAAGAGGAGGATGAACAAGCAAACCTAAGCCCTAGCACAGATCAAGGAGGGACAACAAACTTGGATATCGAAGAGGAAGAGCTGTTGGGAAAAGCGCTGGCTGACATACTGACAAGTTCTACTGCTGGAGCTAAGACCACCAACTTGGGGGATAATTTCACTATCTCAATGATCGGGGATAACCCCGCAGCGAATTTCTCCAATCTTATCATGGATGCGTTTGAGGCTCCACGCCTGGTCTGGAAGTTTGAGCAAGGCATCATCAACCATTCTGAATTGGATAGTGAGTCCGGATCTGATTCCACTAAGTCTATGGAGTCAGAGTCAAATTAGAGTTCCTCTGTATTTTGTACTTCTAGGAGTGGTAACCCGGATACTAAAGTCTTGTCCAGGTCGTCTTTTAGCTTTTCTTTTGAGTCCACTATAACTGAAGCTCCAGACTTTTTGAATGGGAATGTTGTGGACTTTGCCTACTTTTCTGTGCCTTTGGTTTGTTGTACTGATATTATTTTTCAAAATTTTGACATAAACGTAGAGGAAGAAATTCCTCAGGTTTTGAAAATTTTGGTTGATCATGAGTAGGAGAGGCGTGTTAAGCCCTGTACAGATGAAATCGTATCAATTAACGTGGATACTGAGGAAGATCCTTGCTTGGTCCAGATCGGGTCCACGCTGTCTTTGGAGGAGCACGAGTGTTTAATAGCTTTATTAAAAAATTTCAACGATGTTTTCGAGTGGTCCTACAAAGGTATGCCTGGAATCGATCTTGAGATTGTACAGCATCAGATCTCTCTTGACCCTAAGGCCTGGCTAGTTAAGCAAAAGTTGCACAGAGTTTGCCCAGATTAGGCTTTGAAGATTAAGGAAGAAGTTACCAAACAGATCAAGGCAGGGTTCTTGCTTGTATCTAAGTATCTGACGTGGTTGGCCAATATTGTTCCAGTCCCAAAGAAAAATAGCGGAATCAGAGTCTGTGTTGACTTCAGGGATTTGAATAAGGCTAGTCCAAAGGATGACTTTCCGCTGCTGCATATTGATGAGTTGGTAGACCTCACCACGGGCCATGCATTGCTCTCGTTCATGGATGAGTTTTTCGGGTGTAACCAGATTATGATGGCACCTAAGGATAGGGAGAAGACCGTTTTCACTACTACGTGGGGCACCTATTGCTACTGAGTCATGCCGTATGGGTTGAAGAATGCTGGGGCCACTTATCAAAGGGCTGCAACTACCATTCTGCACGACATGATCCACAAAGTGGTTGAGGTGTATGTGGAAGATATGATTGTCAAGTCCAAAGATTGAGAGGGCCACTACACCACCTTGGAGAAATTCCTTCAGCGGATCAGAGAGTATAGATTGAGGATGAACCTGCAAAAATGCACCTTCGGCATAATAACAAGGAAAATTCTGGGATTCTTGATCACATAGAGAGGAATTAAGGTGGATCCTTCCGAAATTAAGGCCATCTTAGAAATGCCACCACTAAGGACTAAAAAGGAGGTGTGCGGTTTTCTAGGTAAAGTGCAATTCATAAGGCAGTTTATTTCAAAACTAACCTTGACTTGTGAACCATTTTTTGGTCTC